CTCAGCATAGTCAGCAGAGACAACAGCTGGAAACACTAAAACGTTACTACAACCATCCTTTTTATTTTCATATTGTGTCTGTAGCCTATTTTTCTCAATATGGGASAGGACTGTAAAACTACAAAATTACAATTCCTGCAGTGCTGGCTACAGTTTATTATGTCAGTCTAGCAGAAGGAGAAAAATAGTATATAATCTTTTGCATATAGTTCTTGTTTATGTTTGAAATAAAACACCAACGTACTAACCAAAGTATGTTACATGAAAGCCTCTCCGGAGGAAATATTGAAGAGCAGTAAACAAATGGTCTTGACTAATATTTTGTGCTGGTGGTAAAGCTTTTTAAGGTAAAAAAACTAAAAAAAAATAACTCCCGAAAATGAGGTGTCAGAAAACAATAAAAACATTGTCTGAAACACCCAAAGCTGCAACTGTAATAAAATGCAAACTATTTAATATTGTCTAAGTGTAAGGGTGTATTCAGACCAGGAAAGTCCTTTGGTCCAATTGTTTGGTACGGACCAAAAATGGATTATTTTTTTCGTTTGTTGCAGTTTGCATTCACATTGTGCTTTTTTGCAAAYGAACTATAAGTTGTAAACAAAGCCATCAGGCTGACGATCATTGCTCCCACTGGACAAAAAAAAAAGGACGGGGGCGGGACTGAGCCACAGACCCAGAAGAAAACAAGGAAGTCCTGCATGCTGCGGTTCTGATGCGCACATTTATGCTGATAGTACAACTGCAATAGCATTTAAAATGTCAGAAGMAGCTAATTTAATGGTGGTTCYGTGATGATATTCTAATTTTGGAGCGRCGTCAGTAAATGTGTCCCGCAACCCAAAGGAGACRAGGTGCTCTGCGTGTTCYGACCCACAACATGCYGGCAGCAGAGCTGCTAACAGGAGACGACGAAACAGGTATGATTTCAGTTTATTTAGCTCAGCAACGGTGGCCTGTGAAGTCCAAAAAGGTGCATGTTTAATGCAGTTGGTTCGGTTAGAGTCCGGTCTGTATTCACACCAGAAGAGAACTGAAGTGAACTGCACCAGAGTTCGTTTGGAAGCGGACCGAGACCACCTCAAAAAGCAGGTCTCGGTCCGGYTGTTTGATCCGCWCCAGAGTTCACATGAGTGYATTCACACCTGCACAAAAGGTCCGGACCAACGCTGGAAACGAACTCTGGTTCGTTTAAAGCGGAGCAAATTATCAGGTCTGAATACGACCTTAAATTCACAAGCTCAATAAGAGTAGACAAATAAGCAAACAACATTCAGCTGTAACTAAGAAATGAAGCCATTAAAACTGATGCAACAAGATGTTTTGTTCCCGTTACTGACAGTTCTCTGACCAACTAAGTTGGGCACRTCATTAAAGGACAAAATAAAAGAAGCAGGTTTTACTTTGCCCTCACTTTGACAATGTAGCACAGGGGTGTCAAACTCATTTTCACAGAGGACCACGTGAGCAAAATGGTGACCCTCAAAGGGTCAATAATTAGTTTGAATGTTTTGTGTTTAACTTTTACTAAACRGTCACGTACCTTGTCTCATTGCTAYGGCTGAGCAYTGCTAACAAATAATAACTGGGCTCTARGTGGTATTTTGTGCATAGAAACAACATTTTAACATGTTCTCCTCTRAACACTAAAAAGTACTACAAGTTGACTAAATGTAAAATAAATAATAAAGAAATAATATTAAAAGTAAGAGGTTTACTTATTGTTTAGTTGTGGTAAGTAGCTGCCATCTTGAAAACTGAACTGGTGTTCCAGTTTAAATTTATGCCTTTTAAGAAGGAAGTTCTCTCTTTCTGGTACAACTGGGCTGCAGCAAAAGTAGCCATCTAAAATGYAGTTAAACAGAGAATTTACACAGCAAATTTTGTTGACTGCCAGCTACTTTTTAACCCTGTGCTTTGGTTAGCGATGAGGTAATGGCTCTTTGGAGGGATTCATATCTTGATGAGTCATTTGTTATAGCCATTTGATTTTGAATGTGTGAAGTTATCAAGTAGGGATATACTGTATGTCATCACGTACGGCATACATGATGACATCATCACATCACATGGGCAGAACCATGTGATGTGATGATGTCATCATTTACGGCATACATGATGACATCATCACATCACATGGGCAGAACCATGTGCTTTTTCAAGAGGAACCCACTGCCCCATTTCACCAGAGCTGCTGTACTCCACCGCTCTGCCTTTTTTTCCATGAAAAGATGGAGGAGCAATTGTCTCTGTGTTTAAGGAGGAAATAAATAAAGATATTACACGGATAAAAAAATTCAGCTTGGTTCCTATTGTTTGTTTTAAAGAGCCGTTTAAATGATTCAAATTGTTCACAAACTTCACATCCCTAGTGGTGGAATGCTGTCATTTAACTGCTACAAAAATAATCATCACGTGTTWTGTGRGATGTAGTTTAGCAAYGCTGGCTTCAAAGCAGCACAAGCTTATTTTAAGACATTATTACCCCTTCAAAGTTCTCCACACAAAATTCAGTGGTTGGCCCGCATGCCTTGACTTTGACACGTGCTGTAGCAGGATGCAAACTAAATTTACTATATCCAAGTTAGTTATTGTAAAATGTTTTTTTGAAATTTTTTTTGTATTTTGTATTTTTTTAATTAATCAAACAGGTTTAATCTGTTCATTTATAATTCTTTTATAAAAACACCTTTAGAGACATCACTGAGTCCAAAATCTGTTTCCTCAATGACAATAAAACATTTTATAATGTATCTTAATTCTATTGTATTATGTTGTGTTGCATCACACTGTATTGTAATATATTGTGCTATATTTCATATCATTTTGCATGTCCTCCCTTCTGATCTTTTCAAACACGCACTCTATATCTTCTTGTGCCTTTCAGCTGATTCTCACATAAATGGTTTGTCAATGACATGCACCAGCATTAAAAATACACCACCACCCAGCTGCTGTCAGTCTCTTCTAGACTGAAACATTGAAATACTTTTTTTAGTTGAATATCTGGAATGTGTCTCTGGTGGTTCATGCTTGGGACAACCTGGAGAAAAAAAAATCAGATATTTAACCTAGCTGAATCTCTGTTTTGTCCTGCAGCGAGATGAAGCTGAACGTTGAATAATAGCGAGCTTATTCTCCTGCTGCACTCGCACCACATCCTATCCTACATGCAGGCTGCTGAATTATTCAACTGTTTGTACCTGTGAGGCATGCAGACCCTGTTAAGGGCTGCCCCGGTATGATCTATAATTAAATATAATGCAACATGAAAGTGCATAAGTCATGAGTTGAGGGCTTGGACGAGTCACTCAGACTTCCTTATTCATTTTGTGTRGGCTTTTTATTTCTTTGCTTTTGTCTTTCTTTTACAGCTGCTTTTATTTCTGAGAATTTTTTTACAAACTTTTTTTAGCTTATGCAAACAATGCCTTGTTTTCATCTTTTTTTGGCTTTCCTCTCTAAAACTGAAGGTTTGCCCTCAGCAACTGACATCGGAAGGGCAATAAGACCATGTCATGTTTGATTATGTTATGATCGCCTCTTATAAAGAGTGTCAGTCCCACTAGGTTCTTTGTCTGTTTTAGTGTGGATTTTGATTCCTTTAGAAGCTCAATCATGGAGCGTTTCAATGTACGCACTCAAAAAAAAAAAAAAAAAAATCCTGCTGTGCAATTAGAAATCTGAGCAGAATAAACCCATTCACAGGCTCTCAAAATTGACCGTTTGGGATGCATAAACCTCAGCAAGCAGCCATTGTTCTCAGCACGAGTCCAATCCTCCTGAATGTTGACCCAAACAGCTAGCAACAAGAGAGCATAAATTGAAAATGTGCAGAAGGTGTAGAACAAAACACCCATTTAGACAATTCGAGTTGAAAGAAAACCACTGATATGTCAGTTTCAAACCGTTCGTCCTGAACTTTTTTTTTTTGAGAACATGCCAAGAAAATCTGACAATATTGGACATTTAACAGAAATGAAAATCTCTAAAATATGCCTGACGGACAAACAAACACACACACACACACACACACACACACACACACAAAGCAAAAGGATCCTCGCATCTGCCCAAATGTGAACGGTAATATCTTCACCTTGCAGGCGGCTGCAGGGAGGAAAGACTTAAGCAGCTTGCTCACTTTCTTCCTTCACTGACTGTGAAGTGGAGTCTGAGGTGTCAGGAGTTTTTTTTTCTCCTTTCCCCCCTCCATCTCCCTCTCTCCCTATTTCTCTACTCTTTCTCTCTCCCTGATTTTTTTTTCACACCAAGTATGTCTCTGTAGTGGTTGAGTTTGTGCTTTTACAGGGAACACTGCAAGCTTGTGATAAGAAGCTGAAGGCAGATACATACATCCTGGCGTGAGGTGCCACAACACGATCAGGGAGACAGTAAGCAGATCTCACACAATATGTTTTTTTTGGAATTTACATGTGGCATGTGATCCATAGGTGCTGGTGTACGGTGGACGTGAATAATCGGGGGGTGGGGGGGCAAAGTTCTATGCATGAAAGTCATAATGAAAGAACGGAAAACAAAGCAAATCCTTAGCTGTGTGTTTTGCTTCCAGAGAAATTAAATTGACCCTTTTGTTATTGCTGTTCCAAAAAATAAAAAAATAAAAGAAGCATTTATTACCCACCGAAAGGCAATAGTATTTATTTTCTCTAGCCAGGGAGTATTTATAAGGATGCCCCCAATACCAGCTTTTACCTCATCTCTCTCATAAAGACCAAGCAATTACTCTGGTTTGCTGACACCCTGAATACCAACACAACAATGCCTCTTCTTTCTCCACAGGAACTCCCCCTAACAACATCACCAGCTCTACTATCACACACACACTGATCTCACCCTCCCCACCCAAAATCCCCTTCGACACCCCGCTCCCCTCCAAAAATACAAGTTGCTGCTGGTTGCCATGGCTACAACAGGAGTTCATAAATCCAACCGCAGAGGGACTCGTCATTCCCTTGAAATGATCCGATTTCTTTTTTTCCTTCTCCTTATTTTTGGAAAGCAGGAAGTTGAAAAAAAAAGGGGGGGGGGTGCACAGTACACAGGGTGAAGGATTTGGATAAAGAAGGTTGAGGGGATGAAAGAAGCCCATCCGTTGCCTCCACCACGTGTCCCACTGAAGCAGATGGCGCCGTGTGGCTCCGCCATGCCTCTGCGCTCGCCCTGTGAGCGCCGCTGCCATAAGGAGGCAGGTTAGTGGGAGATTTGGGGTGACAGTGTTTGGCAGGGGCTACAAAGTGAAGATGTAGGGAGGCAGAAAGCGCTTGGTGCCTTGGGCCGACACCAAGGTAAGCTGCTGTTATGTTCCTGTCTCTGTGATTTAGTGCCCATGAGCTGCAGAAATAGAAAGCCAAGGTAGCTTTTAGGTTTAGGATTGAAGCATGTCAGACCACATTATGGTGCATTTTAGTTTGGTAAATGTAAATTCTGTTGTTCTGGCATCCACAGATCAAAGTTTGATAAATCACAGGAAGTCACTGCTGCACTTTAAAAGGTGGCAATCAGCATCACTGCAGACAAAAAAAAAAAATGGTTGAGTAACAAATTTGCTTAACTTTCTTTGGATAATTTATTCTATTTTAAGGTGAATTGCACACTTTAACTGATATCTATTTATCAGATCAGTTTTGAACTTGTGAGTTTGAACAAAATTATGCTGATTTCTTCATTGCAAATGGACCATTTCAGCTGTGCACTTCTTAATGTTTATTATAAAATAGAGCTGAATTTAAAGTACATGGGAGTTGGAAATGCAAAACTTGAATTTACATATATTTTTAATATAAGACAATTATAAGATTAAACAAAAAATAAGTAAAACGAATCAAAGTTAATAGCCAGGCTTCTTGTTTAAACTGTGTACCGGTAATTGCTTATATATTTTCTTTATTATTTAATTATGTAGAGTATAGTTTATATACATAATATACAGTACATTGCACATACTATTTATTATGTGTAAAACTATACTGTACATAATTAAAGATGCACACCTCCATCTACAGCAGGTAAAATAAGTATTGAACACGTCAATATTTTTCTCAGTAAATACATTACTAGAGGTGCTAATGACATGAAATTTTCACCAGATGTTGGTAACAACCCAAGTGATCCATACATACAAAGAAAT